CAACAAGTTCAATTAATCAAAACAAAAAACACTGAGAACGAACAAAAAAAGGAAAAAGACACAAAAAATGTTAAAACGAAGTCTAAACCAAGCTACCAGGTAAAACAAAGGGCAAACACGGGGCCTCTCACACCGCGGAAATACCAAAGAAATGCGTTGAAATACTAAAGTCCAATAAAAAGTGTTTCTCAGATTTTTAACTTTCTTTGCTTCTACCGTAGGCAAGGGAAATATGCTTCCCCCAATTGGGCTTTGATGGCCGCGACAGGTGGAGCTCTCCTCCCAGCAGGCAACCAGCTCACCCTGCAATGGGGGAGGAGACTCACAGACACACAAGGAAGTGGAGGGGGAGAGGACACAGGGGGGAGGGAGCGAGAACCCAAACGTGCCCATCATGACCTATTAAATTGCAGCATCATTGTTTCAGTAGATTCCCAGGACACACACACTGTTCCCCTGGCCGTCACCAAACATAATTAGGGTCCTCTTTAATAACGCAGCATTCAGTCCATCTACCACCTTCAAACATGTAAACAATGAAGTGCAAACAATAACTAAACCCACACAATGATTCCAGACAGACATAACATAGCCCTTGAACATGCTAGTATTAACCAGTGATGTGCGGTTTTGTGTTTAATTGCTATTTTATTGTCTACTTCCAATACAAATAGTCATTTAATAATCGCCTAAGTAACTTACATCATACTGTTAATAAGATGAGAGAAGACATGCTTTTGGAGAGAGAGAGAGAGAGAGAGAGAGATTCTCTCCCCTCGGTCGGACTCACCTTGTAATTCCAAAATAAAATAGCACCGATAGGGCTCACGTGGTTGGCAACGCTCAGGTACGTGACCCCTGCATGGTGTCCCATTCCCGGCCACGCCCAACGCTCCAGGACAGATGGCGGAAAGCGAACTGCGGAGCCTTCTCGGAAACTGGTTACCAAAAACACCTGTTTCAACGAATAACAGCCAAAACTGTGATATTCTGGCCAGGGCGGTTGGTTGGTACTTACAGGCACAGGACATAAAGCCATACTGTGTCTTTTTATCTGGATAACCTCGTCGTCAGGAAGACAGAAGACAACGATGGCGGCAAATCAACCCAAACGGACCGGGAGGCCAGCCAAGTACAACTTTTTAGACAAGATTTTACACGAATCGCACAAGTTCTGTATTAGCAATTCTCTAGACACATAACAAACGCATTGTACGTCAGAAAACGTGTGCTACTGCTGTCCTGTCTGTACTGGCTGCAACATTGACATTTCACTCACTGTGGGCACAAATAAAAGGATCTCTTATCTTAGACGTCACGTTGCGTTTTGCACTGATTTCCTCTCCTGTCGCAATAGGTATCATTTGTTTGGCTGTAGACAGCGAAATGGGCATTTGCACAATAAAATGCGCCCCAAAAGATCTACCAGCAAAATGTGCAATTTAAAATGCTGCTCATCAGTGTGTGAGGAGAATGCATTCGTTAACGATACGGATAAAGAGCATGGGGGGTGAATCTACGGGCATAAATATGAGGAACATTTTCTTTAAATCGTTGAAATTGACACGAGGCGGTAGAAGGTAAGAGTCAAACATCCTAGCGCAGCCAACCCCTTCACTTCGACACCAAATACCCACTCTTTGTGATCCCGGAACCCTGATGTCCTACACTTCCACCATCATACACGTAAATGGGAACATGTGCGTGATCCGAAGCCCACGGCTCAGTATTTAGGAGAGGAGTCTCAGTTTTTAAGCGTCTGTAGTCCGTTTCTGCTTCTCGCCTCACTGCTAGTTTTGCCACTACTACTCGCTGGCCTTAAGCTCCTTCACAATCAGCGTGACGGGTTGACCGGCGATTCATCTGGTTCAATAAACTCATGCTCACAATCCATCGCCTCCCGCATCGGTTGAGGCGCCGATAACTGCCCCGTCTCACAGGCACCGCTTTTTACCCAGTTGTATTCTTCCTCCGATCTCAAAGACCTTAAACTAAAGATAAATAGCACACACATACGTAGCAATATCACTACCAACACCACTATGACAAGTCTTAACAAATGTTTTCAAATGCCAGGATATTAACCTAATGTATATCCAGAAAGGTGTCATTTTCAAACAGAAGCTGGAGCTAGCTATAAATAGGAGTAGCTCTCTGTCTTTTTTGTTGCCTAATAAGTAGCTCTCGGATTGTAAAAGGTGAGGAGGACCCCCTGCTTTAGTATATGCGAAACACCACAGGCTTAAGCACTACGTTTCCCATGGCCAGAGTTCTCGCTGATATTTCACAGTCTTGGACGTACATATCTCAATGGAGAAGAGTAATATTACAGACCTCTCCACTCCAAGCAAATTTTACAAGTCCGTAAGGAAATAGCATAATGGAACAGTTGAAGCTAGTGAGAGACAAGAGCACTGGGCTGGACGCGGCTCCAAGGACAGAAACTACTTACCATCCGCGTTCAGCGTGGAGCCCATAACCAGTCTCCTGACAGGAAGAGTCTCCATGGACTCACACACTTGCAGCGGGAAAGTGCTCTTGTTTTGGAGAGACCATTAGCAATATAAAACCCAGCTACAACAGGCTCCATTTCATGTATTCCTCACAGCATACTCCCTGCGAATCACCTCATAAAGCCGCTCAGACGAAGCGGGGCAGACTCTTTAACTCCCATATTGCGTCGCATTAAACGGATCTTAATGTTTGCAAACTGAAATGCTTGCGCAATATTAAAACCGAGCGGTTGCGTGCGCGCTCCGCTTCCGGGAGGAAGGGAGAAAAGGACTGGCATCAATCCACGCCGCTGGATTGCTTAGGAGTCCTACATAAGGACAAATAAAAGCCCACAAAGGAGTTACTAAAAGGAGAGCGAGCAATAACGCCGTGATGCACAGCGAAAACGCTCCAGGCTGGATTTGATAACAATGGTGCTACCCTGGGCCGGGCAGGACGAGGCCGTCGCAGTTCTGCATGGGGAAATGCTAATGACCAGACTTAGCTTCTCTCTCACACACCGTTTTATTTCACTCCTGTATTTTTGGAAAAGACACTTACATCAGGACAGTTGGAAATATATATTCTGTGCGTAAGTGCTGTACTTCAAATGGCCGTAGGAGTTCTCCTATACTATCAGTGAGCGTTCAGGAGTCGTGCTTTGTGGGAGCCGCATGAAAGCAACGCATAAACGTGTGCTGACTGTTTGATGTTCTAAAGACTATAACCATAAGCAGTTTTGGTGGTGAATTAATTATCCACGCCTCCTGGATGAAGTGTGCTTTGTTTGCAAGCGCTCGGAATCTGAGTCAGGTCGATGTTCCATTAGCTGTGAATAGGATAAGTGTCATTGACTACGGCCTTCAGAGCCAACCCCTAGACAGCAGCTACCAGCAATGAAGATAAGAGTTACCACTCAATCCAATTGATAAAATGTATTTGTGTCTCGCCCTTAAAATCAACAACAGCAGTCGTCTCGGAAAAGACTTTCGAAACTGTGTCGAACTCTCAACCACAGATAACCATACTAACAACTCATAACTCACAGCAAATCCCTAATAACAAACATGTCGTAGCTCTTTGGTCTCCATAGGTAGCGGGAGGCACAATGTCCATGAATGTTGATTTATAACCTTAAATGTCCTGGATCATGCCTGTTCTTAGACTCATACCTGCGGCAACCCAGTCCGGAAAAAGAAGTGTGAACCGCTCGCACGCACGGACAGGCTGTAGAATCCATGATCTCCAGGCTGCCGAACAGGGACCGGTTTAGAAAGGTCCATCTTTGGTTTCATCAACACCAGGACGCATGTAGACACCCGCAGTGTTAGAACTACTATTATTCCACAGGCATATTTCTCAGTACGAGCTCCTCCTTTACATTAACTTTTTGGGAAGTATTCCAAAAATACCCAAAAATTGTTTTGGATAAGGTGTCCATCCTGCTTGTCTTCTTAGTAGAATAAATCCAGGTGTTTGGGTTACTTCTATAACCAAGAACAAAGTAAGTGTAGCAAGTAGACATGTGTTTGACCGTATACTTCCCGTCTTCCTCAGTAGGCTTCTTCGCTGAATTAGTGTCTCAGCAAAGAAGTGCCTCAAGTAACCTATCATTAATTACCTAACATATGTCGGTAGCAATTGTTTCACCCTACTCAGAACCCTGTCACAGCATATGTTCTGTCCATGTCCTTCTCAAACCACTTCCATCACACTCCAGACCAGTAGAATGAATACTGCCTCGAGCCTTTCACACATGAAGACCCCACCTGGCCCCGGACCACTTGGACAGGACTGGTCTGTCCGCTGACACACGACGTCTCTAAACTAGGTGAATAGTGTTTCATTCTTCCCTTGCAGGACACCGCACGCCCGCGTGGACTCAGGCCTGGGTCCTACACCACGCTGCTATTTTTACCCCAGTCCACCGGGGCCACCGGGGACACATATTGCCTTTGACTTTGTTATCCCTTTGCAGAGCCAAGGAACCGCGGCGGAGACGGGCCGTGGGGGTGCCGGCGGGGAGTGGGTGTGGTGACAGCTCCTCTGCTCTGGCCGGAAGTGGAGTTGAGGATTTAGAGCGGGCCGTTTGGCAGTAATTGGAGCCGACAGCCCACCCCCCCATCCTCCCGCTCCATGGGGGGGGCCGGGACCTCCTGCGTCGGGGATGGGATGGCTGTAATGAGAGCGCCGGACAGCGGGAAGCGGTGGGTTGCAAAAGTAAATAGCCAAAAAGACACCGGTGATTTAAAAGCTTGGGAATCCAACTGTTCAAACCGCCAAAAAAAAAAATAACTATATAATGAACCCGATACTACTTCATTTTCGGGTTGCCAGTCGATGTCTTCTGGGGGCTGGTCGGTCCCCTGGTCAGTGTTCAAGTTTTTCAACGCTCATGGGTTTTAAGACCTCTGGAATAGTCACTGATCGTGGGTGACTGGTCTGGATTCTGATTCCTGATCTTAGTCTTGTTATTTTACCATACGACCCTGGTAAATACATAATGGACGTAGTCACGGGCCTATCTCCGCTGTTCAAACTAATGGGCCAAAAAATGTCCTCTACCTGGAGCGATCCCAAAAGGCCAGCGGGTTAAGCTCCCGTCCCAACATAGAAAATTGTGAAAAAACGCATAGCTGCGCATGCGTCCGCCGGCGCAAGCTCCATTCATTTGAACTAAGAGACGTGAAACAATTACACAGCAAGTATAACTAGAGTGGCCAAAATCACCCCCCCGCAGCATTGACACACACCTGAGAATCGGAGCTTTTGGGCCCAAGAGCCAAACTTTTGGACCAACCTGTAACAGACGTTTCCCGAGAGGTCTGCCTATATGCTATATCTGGTAGCATTGCTAATTCTTCATCTGGGTCCCACCCCCATCGGCCGGGATGGTAGTGTTTTGTTTTTTTTTCTTTTTTTTACAGCATGTCAGCGGCAACGTCATTTTGGCCACTTTTGAGCCAGGAGGGAAACTCACCGCCCCACACTGCGTTTTTTAACCAAGCATAAGTTTTTGGCCTCTGGTCACATCATGACCACACTTTTGAAAAGCACGCTGCACCTCTGCAGTGGAAAACTCATGTGAACCGCTATGGATCTGCGAATTTCATCATCCATTTAGGGCATTACCCCCATGACCAGGAGGGTGACGGGAGAGAAATGTAGATCGACCGGTTAACATTGAGAGCTTTGCTGTTATCACGCACCGCACTATCCGCCTCTCCAAACACAGAAGGCTTGGTCTGTGTGGGTCCCAGCAGTCCATGTCCATGAGTTTTTGTAACCAGCCGTAGTGATGGATTTAATTATACTACTGGAATACTCAGTGATGTTTCCATGATCCGGCTCTAACTAACGTCAGCAGGGTGTGAAATTAACACTGGGAAAAAAACTTTTTTCCCCCTGAGCCAGTCAATATTGAGTGGCATTTAGTTTTGAAAGGGTACGCATTACCTAGCCCATGTACATTTGTAGCCTCTACATATGTGTTGTGACCTTTTCCTCTCTCTATATGGAGTTTATTTCACATGTCCATCTATTTTAGTCTTATCCTAACCATTAACTACCAGAGGAGCCCTGTGTTTTGACAGGCTCCCTGTGTTGGGAATCTAATGAACGGGCATCGCTTGACACCATTCTCGTGGCAGTTTAAAGAAAGCCTGGTTGTCTCGAGGTGCTAGACTGGTCTTGGCATTCTTGGTTTTCACACATAAGAAGAGCGAGTTGCGGAGTTACCTTAGCAACCAACGCTGCTATTCAATGTAGCATTTTGGTCGCCATTACAAATTTGTATTCTTTATGAAGTATATAGCGACTTATTCACGATGTTCAGTGTTTAGGGGGAAACTGAAGCACCCTCGGCGGCAACCTACATCAGGCAGAGCACTGCAAACTCCCACACAGAAAGGATCTGGAGGTGGGAATCGAACACAGGACGCTTCATTGCGCTTGTGAAGCACAACACGCGCCAATCGCCCCCCCCTAACTGCTGAGCCTGTACATGTCATCTAATCTGTAAATAGAAAATGCGACTGCAATCATGTGCGCACTATGACAAAACTGCAATATCAGAAGGTCCACTGAATGTCACTTAATCTACCTTATTACCCTGCCAGACATGTTATAATAATGTACACCTGTTTGCTCTTATAATGGGATTTGCTGCATATACAGCTTAGCCGCTGTAAACAAATATACATATCTGTACAGACCAAAGGTTTGGACCCACCCCACCATCGCAAGAGTTTTTTATTTTCTATGTGCCACTGAAAACTATGGGTTAACTCAGGTCGAATTATAGGGACGTGCCGAAAAAAAGCATGAAACAACTGCAAATATGTGTTATATTCTGGTTCTTCAAAGTCACACCTTTTGCTCTGATACTGCTTCACTCTTGGCATTCTCTGGATGAGCTTCAAGAGGACCTGAAATGGTCTTCAACAGTCTTGAAGGAGTTCCCATGATGCTTAGCACTTGTTGGCCCCTTCACTCTGTGGTCCAGCCCCAAAACCATCTGGATTGGGTTCAGGTTCGGTGACTGTGGAGGTCATGTGGCCCAGCACCTTCACTCTCCTTATTGGTCAAACAGCCCTTACACAGCCTGGTGTGGATCTATGAAAAGAAAGGAACCTCATTGAATGAAAGTGTGTCCAAACTTTTGGTCTGCACTGTACATACATACATATATATATATATATATATATATATATATATATATATATATATATATATATATATATATATATATATATAAAATGTATATATGTATATATGTATATGTGTGTGTGCTCTTACCACTGTCCTGTATGTGTGCCCGACTATGGGACAAATACAGGTGATCTCCTCTTATCTTGACCACTGCTGTGCTGCCCAACAGCAACAAACTGTTCTCGCTCAAATTATCAGTTGAGTTTATTAGGAACAGTCGAAATGACTGTTCAGGAATTTCTAGCCCTTTCAGAAATCTGGGAGTCCTCATGTTAAATTGAGCAGAGGCACTCGGTGGTTCCAGCCTGACTAATGATTTTTATCTTTACAGGGTCTTTTTATACAAAAGCACAGATGCATTGTAGGTTATAGCAGGAGGGCTAATGTACAGCTGCAGTCCCAGAGCAGGTGATGTCACAGTTAATCAAAATGAGATGGATACATGACCATGCCCACAGGACACATCCAAGACTGTGGTTGTGGATCCATTACTGCCAGGCTTGAAGAGGCTCCCAGACTTGCAGAAGCTCTTGTGTTCGAGTTTGGGGTGACCGGTTCAGTTCAAGGAGATCTACTGAAAGAGGTTCTAAATGTTGGGACGCAGCTCTCTCCTCTTACCCCTGAGAACATGGCCACATACAATATTTCCTGAGAGGTGGGGCTGTAAGACTGTTGAAGATTTAACGCATGTTATTATGAACAAAGTATACCTAAGGTTAACATGTATTGTATACTCATACAGAGTGAGTCTTCTAGACTCACTCTGTATGATGAGTTTGAAAACAAGAGCTCTTAGACAGAAGGGGTGGGAAATGTTTGTGCCGGTCTGAAAGAACCATGGAAAGAGAAGATTCCCTCAGCAGCGTGCCACTGTAACCCCAGATTATCTGCTTTGGTCATGTCGTCTTTTCTTGAGTGGTTATTATTCAGCCTCTGTAACAAAAGCAGTGTTTTCATAAACCATAGCGGCACAAAATACACTCAAATCCAACGTGACAAAGTGTATAAATAAGGAATAAGAGCAGATAAAGAGTAAATAAAATGTTTGTGGAGACTGGTGCACACAGGGGAGACAGATGGGGAAACAGGAGCCCAAACAGCAGATTTCGCAGTGCTCTCCAGAGGGCCGTGGATGTTGTTTTCAGTCCATTATCCTGCTCCACACTCAGGCTGCTGCAGGAGCGAGGGCGGGCCATGGGGGAGAGCTGAGGGGGAGAGCGGCAGCACACACTATCAAAAGTGAACACTGTCTCAAAGATCCACATCTTTTAGTCTTTTATTATCCTGAAACTTTCTGTAATGCTTCGGATTCATTTAATTGTCTCTGGTAACAACATTAATGGCACACAAATGATCCATCCACCGCCATCTTACCGTCCTCAGCAAGATGCCTCTCTCCACGAGTTTTCAGTTTACTTTATTAAAATTAACTAATGAGTTTAGGACGTGAGAGATTAAATTATGCCTTAGTCTCGCACCAAAATACAGCCATCACATGTTAGTTTCTCACCAGCCTCCTGCTGGTGCCCAGAGTCTCTTCAGATTCACACCGCTAAAATCCTCCATCCATCCATTTGTTCATGGGGCTGCAGTCCCTATCCACACACTCCTCCTCCAGCTCATCCGGGGAAATTCCAAGACGTTCCCCTGCCAGCTGAAAGACATGGTCCCTCCAACATGTCCTGGGTCATCCCCGGGGTCTCCTCTCACTCATGAACAAGACCACGAGATACTTGAACTCGTACACTTGAGGAGGAAGTAAGTAAGTAATCTTTATTTATATACCGCCTTTCACAGACCAGAGTCACAAAGCGGTTTACAATTGTTATTTTTGGGCACTTGTCCTCTCACTCCACACAGAGATGGGAGCGGGGTTGCCGAACAGGAGGCGCATGCCAGACCTATTGTACATATTTTTAGTGGTAGGGGAAATCGGAGTACCCGGAGGAAACCTACACAGGAGGGACCTCTCCACCCACTTGGAGAGAGCAAGGCAGCTATTTCCGGTCAAGCACCATGGCCTAATATTTGGAGCGGATTGTCAGTGCACATTGCAGGTCCGAGATTCGACCATTGGTCGAAGTCTCCTCTTCAATACCTTGGAGTAGACCTTACCAGGAGTGGGTCCCTCTTCTTGTAAATCGGTACCACCCACCTGGTTTGCTATTCCATTGGCACTACCCCCAACCTGGTCTGCTACTCCATTGGCACTGCCCCCGATCGCCACACGATGCTGCAGAGAAGTCAGTCAAGACAAGAAGTCAGCCATCCAGAGACTTAAGACAGTCAGGACAGATCCCATCCACTGTCGGAGCTGTTCCACGAGGAGGCTGCTAGCAACCTTGGTGACTTCTGCCAGAGAGATGAAAGTATCCGCCCGATACCCGCA